AGCAGGGATCAGATGAGTTACCCACAGCCTTTCTAGAATGGTTCATAGAGGCCATTCTGTCAATACACACTGTGGCCTTTATAGACCAGGCTAGTTGATATCAAGAAAAAGCTTCAGAAGCTAGAGGGGTTGCAGGATAAGTCATTAAAAGATTTAGTGTAGGTTGCCAAGGAAGTCTACCAAAGCAGGGAAAAAGAAAAAGAGCAGAGAAAGATTAAACAAGAGGAAAGAGAGATAAGAAAAAGAAAGTTGACAGGAAAGGAATTTACAGAGAATCTTGACTACAGTAGTTAAGGAAAGCAGAGAAGGGAGATTCCAGTTGAAGGGAGATAGAAAATTCCTTGAAAAGGACCAGTGCACACAATGTTGGTAAAGGAGCCACTGAGCCCTGGAGTACCCTAACAAACAGAAGCTGGGGGCAGGAAATCCCAGGCCTTGGGAAAAAAAAACCCAAACAGTGAAAGTGTTAACCCTGAGTGAAGACAGTGATTGGGTTTGACGGGGTTTGGACCCCCGTCCCAGGCCCAGGATAACCTTAAAAGTAGAGGGGAAACCCACTCAACTCTTGATGGACACAGGAGCTCAACATTTGGTCCTTCTCCAAGCTAATGGCCCTGTTTCCAAGAAAAGATCTTGGTTCCAAGGAGCCATTAGCACCAAAATGTATTCATGGGCTACCTGAAGAATGGTGGACCTAGAAATGGGCTGGGTATCCCATTCATTTATGGTCATCCCAGACTGTCCTACCCTCTGTTGGGGCAAGACTTACTCTCCATGATGGGGGTCCCGATACACTTTCTGCCTGAAGGGCCACAAGTAAATGGCCCAAAAGGAGAACCCATGGGTGGAGGAAAGACTCCTACTGACCCCTGCTGGGAGCCAAGGCAACCTTTACAGACAGGAACAGTTTTCTCCATGCTGGTCAGAGACAAGCTGGTGCTGCTGTGGTGGACGGCAAAAATGTCATCTGGGCTGAACTTCTACTCCCCTCCCCCGGGCAGGTTGGCACAGAAAGCAGCCTTGGGACTGGGGGCTGGCAAGAAAATTAACATCTACATGGACATCGTGTATGCCTTTGCCACAGCCCACATCCACAGGGATATATACTGAGAGAGGACCGCTCACATCAGAAGAAATCTTGAATCTCTTAGATGCCCTGATGAAGCCAGCAACTGTGAGTAGTGTTCATTGTCCAGGACACCAGAAGGGAGAAGGCTCAGTGGTCCAAGGGAATAACCAGACAGATCAAGTGTCTCCATGGCTATGCAGGAGCCTATCCAGGTTATGGGCCTGCAAGAGACACTGGCTAGGGAATGGGAGTAGATTAAGGGATGGCCTTAAAACACACGGAAGAAGAAAAGACTCAGATTCCTAGCCACCCTACCCACTATTACCTACAGGAAAAAGGGAGAACTATACTCCCCAGAAAGCAAGCAAAAGACTTACTAAATCAAATGCACAGATGGACTCATTTGAGAGATAAACGCATCCCAGTAGTCAAGGGATCTAAAGGACCTCATGTTGTGGGCCAGAGAGATAGTAGAACAGTTAAGGTATACCAGCAAGCAGACGCTTATGTTTACGCCAAGAGTAAACAGAGAAATATACCTAGGGGAGAACAGCCTAGAGTATATTTGGAGGCCAATTTTGCAGAAGTTAAGCCAGGAAAATATGGACACCCTCTAGTATGTACAGATACAGGGCTGTAGCTTGTGCGTGCATGGGCGTGGGTCCTGTTGTGTTGTGTTGTGGTTCCCGCGTGTCTGTCACAGCTCAGGGAGGCAGAAGTGTGGGAATTTGACTGAGTTCTCTCCAAGGCGCCAGGCAGTTTTGCAGCTCTGCCCGGGTGTGGTGAGTCCTGCAAGAGGAGAGCTCCTGAGTGGGGATCTCCGGGCCGAAGCAGCTGACTGGGAGTCTCTGTCTTTGGTCTCCCAGATGCCACTGGGAGCCGTGGAAGAACTGAGACGGAGGGCATCCAGGCTGGACTGGCCTGCAGCCGAGAGACAAGGGAGAGTCTCCAGCGGTGCCCCGCAGGGTAAGAGACTCTTGGTTATTGCACTTGCTTGGCTGGGTCGGCTAGCTTGGTTGAGTTGGCCGCTCGGCAGGAATGTAGAAAAGTAGCAACTCGGTAGTCAAAGGCCTTTTCCAAGGTTCCTCACAGCAGGGCCCCAAAGACACAAGGAAGTTCATGGTTTTAAAAGGTTTATTATCATGGTGGAAAGTAGATGTGGTTGTACCCCCCACCCCACCATCTCAGGGTGGGCCTGACTTAAATAGGGAGGGAGGGGTTTTGGAAGGAAATCTTAATTGGCTACGCCCTCTGGCCTTTAAGCATCTCATTAATATTGAGATCTCTCGAGGCTCTGCAGCCTGTAGTCATGTCCTCTATCTGTGCTAGGTGACACAAACCCCTTTGGGAGGGGCTGTAGGGGCATTGTCCAATATGACTGAAAGGTGCAGATCAATGGAGGTCTTAGGCCGGGTGTCAGGAGCCTGGAGTGTGGGAGTGTAGCAAAATGTATGCTGTCCCTGTGGGGTCTTCGCAAGCCAGTGTTCCACCAGAAACCTAGCTATCCTTTCTTCACGGTCCCACAGGTAGACAATCTCTAGATGGTTGGGGCTTTCCCCACCAAGCAGCTACTGTGGTAACCAAGACGATATTAGAAGGAATTAGAAGAAATGCCCCCAGTAACCCATGGCCACGCCCCCAGTGACCCATGGTCACGCCCCCAGTGACCCATGGTCACACACCCAGACTCATGGCCACGCCCCCAAATGCAGGGAAACCGCAATCTCTGCTCTCTCCTCATGATGTCACAAACTGCAATACTCATCAGTTCTCCCGCCACGGGACCCTGGCATTCTGTTAGTGACATCACAACCCTGCAAGTCAGTCCCGAGAATTGGACCAGTCCAGTTAGCAGCAGTAAGCGTGGACCCCTTCATGCTCTATATGATGTCACAACCAACGAGTTGCTGGCGACCAGAAGTCAGTCGAAGTCCCACGATTATGCGCTGCACCCAAGGACACTGTCACAAGTCTGTGACGTCACGGGCGCGACGCGAATCCTGAGTTTCTGCTTAAGTTCTGTAACTCAATAACTTATAAATCTCTTTATCTGTGTGGGTGTGCTGGGGGCAGGACCTAGGCAGAGGGGACCTGACTTGAGCAGAAGGGGCGGGGCCCTGGGCAGATGCTGCTAAGTCTGCCCTGTGGTCCTTGACTGACCATTGATGGAGGAGCCCGAGGGGGCGTGGTCGGGCCTGTGGGTGTGGTTTCTATGGGAGGAGGGTCGTGTCTTATGATGTGGGCGGGGGAGTGTGAAATGAGGGCGGGGCTGGACAAGTCACTGGGCGTTTGTAAAAGTCTGGCTGCTGAGGGCGTGGCCTAAGGGTTGACTGACAGCTGCGGTGGGGATTGATTGACAGCCACGTTGGTTGACTTTTAACTGTTCTGCGTGCTGGGGGCGGGGCCTAGACTCAGGGCAGTGCCCTCACTGACCCATGGCCATGGCCGTTCCCATTTCTCCATTCCTCATGGACAGGGTCAGCCCCGTGACCCAGCGGTCAGGCGTCACAGCCTGGCGTGACCCTTCTGTGACTCCAGCATGACTCCCGTGTGACCTGGGTGTGACGCCTGTATGACCCCGCCCCCGGGGGTCAGAGACAGGCAATAAAGACCTTAAAGACCTTAGGCATCAACATCTGCCGTCGGAGGTCACGTGATTGACATGTTACGGCAGGAAATGCCTTCTGTCTATCCCCAGCAGCGGCTTGGGCTCAGGGCCATCCCCCTGCCTCGGCATAGGACTTCAGGCAGTCATGGGATGACTGCAGGCGCTGGGTTCACGGGGGTGTGGCCTGGGTGATGAGGTATGAGGTTGGTGTGTATGGGCTGACAGACACGGGGTGGGCGGGGTCATCGCTGGGCGGAACCGTAGGGGTGAGAGTCAGGGATGGACCACCCGGTGAAATAGCCCAGGCTGGCCTGCCTATGCCTCCCCATTCCCCCACCCAGCACCACTTCTTGCTGAGGCCCCGCCCCTTCCTGTCTCTGAGGACAATGGCGGAGAAGCAGGGTTGTGGGTGGGGCCAGCGCATGACAGACAACACAGTTTCCCAGAATCCCCCGCGGTTTATTGAGGGTGGGACTCAGGCATCTGTCACGGGTGTCACCTCGCAGTCCTCGGTCTCTCCCCATGCAACCTAGAGGGACATGTCCACCTGTCAATCACCATGGAGACACGCCCACACCCATCATTCACAAATAGACACGTCGACCTGTCACTCATGTGAGTCACGCCCAAACCCATGCATTCCTGTGAGCAATATCCCCAGGCACTTCCCACTCACCATCTCTCCAGGCCCCGCCTCCAGGCGGACGCGCATGCGCGGGATGGGTGGGAACAGGCGGGCCAGCACTGACTTCCTGTGGGAGAAGCAGAGAGAGCAAACTGAGTGAATCTGCATTATTAATCAGCATAGATCTTCATAAAGTCAGCCCATGGGCCTTGAATTTGCATGCAATCTGCATGTGCCCCGGCCCCTCCACCTGTGTGTCAATCAATGAGACACAGCTGCAGGACAGGAAGTGACATACTGATGTGAGGGTTTATTTGCATAAATTTAAATTATCTCTAGAAACTTGAAAGATTTTAAACTAATGGAATAAACTTTAAGAGCAACAGGAGGTGAGGTCAAAGGTCCTAGCTTCATAAACTTGCATAACCTCATATAAATTTTAATGTTTGCATAAATTTGCATGCGTGATCCAGTGCTGCTCTTCTGTTACCTACCCAGCCCAGCTCTCCCAGTGCACGGAAAATCTGCCCACAGAAGGGGCGAGGCTATGTAAGCCCCACCCCCATGACCCAGCACATGACCAGGTTACCTCCTGCACAGCAGCAGAGCTGCCAGCGCCGTCAGCCCCACCCCTGCGACCGCCAGCAGCAGCGAGATCAGCATCACAGGGGCCACCACAGGACCACACACTGTGGGGGCGGAGCAAAGGGGAGGGGGCGTGGTCAGGGGACCAGGAAATGGCATCAGGTGGGCGTTTCATGGTCCCGGGAGCCAGGAAATGATGTCATTGTGAGAAACAGTGAGAGTAGATGTTGGGGGTGGGGCTTTGTTGGAGCGGGGCTACGGAAAGAGGCGGAACTTAGGGACATGGGAGTGACAGCAGGTGGGCTGGGCTTGGCTGGAACCCAAAAGTGATGTCATCAGAGGAACAGGAACTGGGGGGCGGGGATTCATGAAGGCGGGGCTGCGTGGTGGCATGGCAAATGGAGGGGGTGTGGCAAAGGAATGATATCATTGGTGGAACAGGAAGTGAGGGTGACGGATCATGGGCGGGGACTCCCAGGGGCATGGCCACCTGGGGCGTGGCCTCACCCAGGTGCTGCGTGTTGCTCCAGGGGCTGGGCTTCCCGCCTGTCACCAATGTCGCACTGACCCGGAAGCTGACCGTGCCCGGGTTCAGGAGCCGGAAGTGTGGGACGTTGAGCTGGAGGCGGGGCCGGAGCAGGAAGTGAGGTCACAGGGACGGCCCCACCTCTGGAGCTGACCTACCCTTTTCCCGAGACCAAAGGACTCACCGGCTGCTCTTGTGGCTCCGGGTGTGAGCTCTGTGGGGGAGAGGACTCAGTCCAGCATCCAGCACCCAGCACCCAGCACCCAATACAAAGCAGTGAGCACCCAGCACCTGACACCCACTTGGTTGTACTGCAGCTTGTATTCGAAACCTGTGTTGAACTTGCTCTGCATGGCCCACTGCACATGCGCCTCGGAGCTGTTGCACTCGGCCGTGAGCGTGGGCGGGGTCAGGATCTCTGCGGGGCGGGGTCAGGACATCCAGGCTCACAGCCATTCCCCTGCCGTAGATTTTTCCATTCATGGAGCACAGGCTTGAGGGGCAAACTCTCTGCTGTGCTCAGTCCAGACCCTGGGGGAGGACCCCCGCACGCAGTAGGGCTCACGCTCACCCACAAACCCCAGATTCACGGCGGTGTCGCTGCAGGACACGGCGCCCGCGCCGCTGCTGCCCTTCACGGTCACCATCATCAGGTTCTCCAGCAGCGGGACGTCGTCCAGGACGCAGCCCAGGTTAGCCCCGCGCTCGCGGAGGTCATAGTGCGGGCACTCGCGGTCCTGCTCAGGGCCCTCCCTGCGGGGCGGGGGCGGGGCTGATGCGGCGGGGCCACGCCCACCACCGGCTGACATCACCATGCTGAGAGGAGGCCCCGCCCACACAGGAAGTGACCCCACCTCATCCCCAGGGACCCCAGACCCACTCGGCATCCCGCCAGAACATCCGGTAGCGCACGTCCTCGGGCGCCGCGGGGCCCCGCCCCCAGCGACACGTCATCCGCTGCACGTCATGCACCCAGCAGTGCAGGTCCCGGGCGGCCGCCCCGCGGTTGGGGTCTGTGGGGGGATCGGGGATGGAATGAGGGGGTCACGGGAACGACAAAGGTCAGAGGTCGGGTTTGAGGTCAGGATGTACATCCAGTCGGGGTCACACGTGGAGGTCAAAGGTCAAACACGGGGTCAGTCGTGGGGTCATGAGCAGGATCAGAGGTCACACGCTGGGACAGAGGTCAGGCAGTGGTGCCCGGGGTCAGGCAGGGTCACAAATGGGGTGTGGGGTTGTGTGCGGGGGTAGGGGGGGAGGGAGTAAAGGTCAAACACGGGGGCAGAGGTCACAGGAAACCCCGCAGGGGTCGGGGTCACACGAGGGGTCAAGGGTCAGGGTGAGGGGGCGTGACCCACCCGAGGTCGGGAACAGGATAGAGGCAACCATGTCTTCGTGCTTCTCTGGGAAGACTGAGTAGTTGGTCACGTGACAGAGTGAGACTGACTGGAAGGAGCACTGGAGCTGGCCATCCAGGTCCTGTGGGCGGGGCCAGGTGAGGGCGGGGCCGCTGGGCAGGACTAGGTGAGGGCAGGGTATGTGGGAGGAGCTGGGTGAGTGTGGGACGGGTGGTCAGTACTGGTGAGGGCGGGGCCTGTGGGCAGGGCCAGGTGAGGGCGGGGCCTGTAGTGATTTCTGGGCAGGCCAAGAAGTGAGTATGAAGGGGCGGTGCCGGGGCCGGGTGTGACCTGGGGCCGGTTGATTGACAGGTGAGTCTCCCAGCCCCGCCCACTCACTATCCTGGCGTTCCGCCCATCCTTATGGCATATGAATGTCATCCCTGAGGAGGAGGCCCCGCCCTCCAGCTCCCAGGTCAGCATTTGCTGGGCAGGGTTGATTCGCAGGTTCCTGATGGGCGGGGCCGTGGTCTCGATATTGATGGCTGTGGGGATGGGAGGGGGCGGGGCCTGGAGTGAATGACAGGTGATGTCATCGCCTTTCCATCCCTGAAGCCCTGCTCCTGATGAAGTTATCTTCAGGATGGGCGGGGTCTAGACAGTGATTGACAGTGGGGGCGGGGCCAGAATCAAGGGGCAGGGCCGGCGTCTCCTACCTTGCTCCAAAGTCAGTGTGCAGGCCACGCCCCCCAGCAGCAGCCACAGGGCGGAGTCCATGATGGACACTGGAACAGGATCTGACCACAGGGGTGGGGCCTGGGAACCAGGAGGGGTGGGGCCTGGGTGGGCGTGGCTCCGTCCCCAGCCTTCTGCCTCAGCTCTGTCATCTATCCTTTCAGGGCTGCCTTGAAACTGCCAGAGCCCATTCCTGGCCCTGCCCTGCTCCCCCTTCTGCATTCAGTATGAGCTCTAGGTTCAGGGTCTCTAGAAACTGCCGCAGCCCCGTTATGTTGCCCCGTGATGTTCCGTTCCAGTCAATGCTAGTGCGTGGGGGACCTGGAAACCACCAGTGCCCCGTTGCTGGCCTTGCAGTGCTCCAACCCTGTAGGGGTATCTAGAAACCGCCACTTGCCCCTCATAATGGGTTAGCTCTTGGGGGCTCCTGGAAACCTCCGTAGTCTTGTTCCCTGCCGCACACAGTTTATTCTAACCTGGAGGCTGGGGTGGCCTTGAAACTATCGAACCCTTGCTCTGGCCCCTGGACTGTTCCATTCAGGCCAGGCCTGGGGCCCCTCGAAACTGTTGGGCCCTACTTCAAAGCCCTGCAGTGCTCCAACCCATGGGGGGGATCTCTGGAAACCTCTGCTCACCCCTCGCTCTGCATGAGGTCTTGGGTGGCGCCTGGAAACCGCCATAACCTCGTTCCCGGTGCGCACTATGCTGTTTTATTACCACTCAGTTCAGGGGGGCCTCGAAACCACCAGACCCCCGACGAAGTGACTTCCGGTTCTAGCCCATCCCTCTCCCCGCCCCCCAGCTCCCTCGTCCGACCTGTGGGGCCCCTCCCCACCCTGCGGTGCTCCCCCAACCCAGCCCCCGCCCCACCCTCCGGTTGAGCTCCCCGGGGCGCCTGGAAACCCCAGGATGCTTCTTCACACCCCCACAGGCCCCCACGGGGCGCCCTGAAACCGCCGCGATCCCGGTCCCCCACCCGGCTCCGCTCCGGGGGCCGGGGTCTCTCGAAACCACCGCGATCCTGAACGAGTCCGCCTGCGAGGAAACCTCGAAACCGCCGCGCCCGGGGATGGGGGGCGACCCCGTGACCCTCGACCCCACCCACGACCCCGCCCCGCGCTCCCGGGCACTGACCTGCGGGGTCGCCGCCGCCGGGGGTCGCGGCGGGAGAGGTCAGGGGTCGCGCGGACCGCGGGAGGATTCCAGGCCACGCCCCGGCCACGCCCATCCCGCGCGCATTCCGGGCCCCGGGTCATTGAGCAATTTCCTGCGATAACCGAGTGACTGAGGGAGCGCGGCGGGCGGGGCCCCGACGGGACACGCCCCCGTGACGTCAGGGCCCGGGGTCGCGAGGGCGTGGGCGGGGTCTCAGGGCCTCCCTTGGGAAAGAGGAACCGGGAGGAGCAGGGAGCGCGGAGCCCCCGGGCGCGTCCGCAGGCGGATCTGGGAAATCCGTGCCCGAGACTGTCAGGCTCCCAGACTGTGCGCGGGTCCGAGAGTCACGGCGGGAAGCTGTCGGTGTAAACCGCGAGTGTGGACTCCACTCACGTCTTCACTCCCGTCCTTCACTCACGTCTGGGCGTGACACGTGGAAGGAGCGTCCTGCAAGCACGACACCTCAGGTTGATAGTTTCTTAGTCCCCGAAGCCCAGAGCTCCACGGTGAGCATCGTCGTGAAAAACACATATCTGCACAGAGCTGTTTTTATTTTTGTTTTTTCTTAACATTTTCACATTTATTTATATGTGAGAGTTGTCACATATGTATTGCAGTGTGTGTCTGTGTGTTTCCTGAGACTGTATGTCAGAAGACATCTTGTTGGAAATCTCTTTTTTTACATTACGGGACATAAAAATGAAAACTAGTTTGTTCAGGTTGTAAGGTTTGACATCAGTCAGGCTTGTTACCTAATTGGGCATCTCTCTGGGCCTTCACCTTCACACACGAAAAACACAGACACACACACACACCACACACACAAAACCACACACACACACACACACACACACACACACATATATATATATATATATATATATATGTATGTATATATGTATATGGGTCTCACCCACAGACCTGTAGCAGAAGGCTTACAGGGTCCTGCCTTCTCACTTACATCAGTTCCCTGTGGACATCATCAAATGTTGTGAATAAGGCAGTCCTACTTCTTCCTTCCATCCCTCTGCATCAGCTGCAGATAACCTGGAATTATATGTATATATGTATATATATATATGTATATATATACATATATATGTATATATATATAATTATATTCTGTTCATAGACTCTACTCCATTTTCTCCTAGGTTCTCCCCATATTCCTGCTTATCCAACTCCAAGCCTTTTTTCTGTCTATCTTTATAGAACAAACAGCGCAATCAGAAGCAAATGAATCAGAACGAAACAAAGCACATAGAAGAAAGAATTACAAAGCACTCAGAGACACAGAGAAAGAGACAGTGAGAAAGAAAGAGAGTGAAAGCGTGGGGAGAGGGAGAGAAACCCATTAAAACACAAAACTGGAAATTCTAGTAGATAGACAGATGATAACTATGATAAAAAAAAATCACCCAAAGCAAGCATTAAAGACAAAAAAATAATACCACTGTATTCATTTTGTTTTGGTCTTCTACAATTGTGTGTGAAAACGCCTTTGTGTTATGTGTATACCCATGGAGACTCGGTTGAAGAATAATTTTTACTTCATGGGCAGTTGCTCATTAGAAACAGCTTCTGGGTTAGCGATTGGAGTTCGCGTCTACTTCTCCTCTCAGTGTTAGGACCTCACCTTGCTTAGACCTGTGCATGGTGCCACATGTGCTGAGTTCATGTGTGTTTCACTGCTGTTGTGTCTGGAACGCACCATTTCCTAGGTGTCTTCCATCTCAACGGAGCTTACCATCTTACTACCGTCTACATAGTTCCCGATGGCAATGATAATTCCCAGGATGAAAATATGTCTAGGTATTGGAGCCTGAGGAAGGGGTAAAGAGGGTTGAAAGAATTTACATGAGGGACAAAATCTGGGTTCCATCCCAAGTTTGCCCGAGCCCCCAGGGAGTAGAGTTAGGATGACAGGACACGCTGCTGTAAGCCAGCAGCGAGAGTATTGAGACGGAGACTGAAGCAGCATTAATAGTGATCATGACTGAAAGTGGTGCCTGTCTGAGTCCCAGCCAACCGTGGCTACTGACGGTCTGATAGAGAGACTGTTTCCAGGTTATCTGCAGCTGATGCAGAGGGATGGAAGGAAGAAGTAGGACTGCCTTATTCACAACATTTGATGATGTCCACAGGGAACTGATGTAAGTGAGAAGGCAGGACCCTGTAAGCCTTCTGCTATAGGTCTGTGGGTGAGATTGGATAAGCTATGTTGGAGGGCAGGAAAGGCAGTAAAATGTTGAGGTTTTGTCTATTGTTATGTATTGTAATTGTTAATACTGGCCTCCCAGAGCTGGTTGCCCTCAGGGATGAGAGAATCCTCAGGTACATCCAGAACTGCTCTGTGACCTTGTTCCTTAACTTAGAACTATTGGTTAAATAAAGACTCTGACAGCCTGTAGCTGGTAGCTGGGCAGAAGAGAAGTAGGTGAAGTTTGGGCTCGTGGGATTAGGTCTGAGGACCATGAAGGAAGAGAGAGAAAATGTAAAGAGAGGACAGCATCGGGTAAAGCATCCAGAGAACTGGCCAGGATGTCTGGAAAGTCCAAGTAAGGACAAGGAAATGGACTGCAGGCAGGAATCTGACATTAGGCTAGAACAAAGAAGTAATTACAGGCAGGAATCTGAAACTTAAGCTAGAACAAAAAAGTAGACTTCAGGCATAAAAATGACTTTGGGCTATGACCAGGAAGTAGGCTCAGATGTTTCAGTCTGATAAGCCCTTAGAAATAGTGATCACAGGAGTGAGCACTGGACTCTTGTTTATTGTCCTGCCTGTTCTTTGACTATCTGGGTTCATTGTCTTGCTTGTTCCTTGACTATTTGCATCTATTGTATTACTAGTTGTTCAACCTAGAACTGACATAAATACTTGCATGTGATTTAAGCTAAGCAGAGCCTCCCAGCCCATTAGATAACTGGCCTGCTCCAAGGCATTTTCTAAATATCACCACTACAGAAACTCATATCAGAGACTTAGTGACAGGGAAGAAGACAAAATAGCCATAGAGGATTGGTATCTCCCCAGAGCTAATGCTTCAAAAGCTTGTCAAAAAATATGAAGGTTTTGTGTCTTCTATCTGGGAACTGAATTTTCTAAGGGGTAGAAATCACCAATTTTGATTAAATAATTATTTAAAAAGTGGACATTGCCTACCTCAGTCCAGATCCAGTGTGTCTGCTGGAGATCACAGACAGAAGGTGTTTCTAGGTATTTGCAGGTAACAAAAAGGAATGTGATAGAAAGATTGGTGGCTGACAGAAGCCATAGGAAAGGGTTCCAAACCTGGGTTTAATGTAAGTTCTGGTAGCGTCCCTGGAGAATGGAGGTTGAGTTGAAGGTCAGGTCCCTGAAAATCTTGTCCTGTGTGTCGGAGCAAGAAATTCTTGCTTTTCGTTTTTTAATGAAAGGACAAATCTATTTGTATGACAGCAAAGTAAGGGAGATTTACTGTCCACTAAAACTTTTATCTTCTGTTAGAATCCAAAATACCTGGTCTTATACTGCACCTAAATACAAATTACAAAGATTAATTTTATTAAAATGCAATATCAAGCAGAATTTTTCTCAATACAATAAATCTCTCAGATTGATTAGAGGCCTTGAGTTGAAGCATGTGATGTTATTTTGCCCTTAGAAGTGATTGTAAAACTCTCCGGGCAATTGGGTCACTCATAGACATATTTATTCTGTCCTCCTAAAAAGTCCAGCATATATTCTTCTACACATTCTCAAGAATAAAAGACTTGGAAATAAATAGCTAAAAGGAACTAATGATTTGAAGTAGATAATATTTCCAGCATACTTTTATGAATATTTTTTTTGAGAAAGAAAAATAACCAAATGTCGTTTATTAGCAAAGGAATGTGATTTATTTGACTCAAAATTCTGGAAGTTCAAGCTTATTGGCTTTTACTTCGTTCTTTCTGTTGCTTCCTACAAATTCACAGAAGTGAGAAGTATGTCGAAGTGGACAGAACATGTATAGGAAAGAAAAGGTAGATAAATCTACCAGGTTGAACTCTCAATTTCGAACATCTATGCCCCAAATGCTAAGGAACCCACAGTTATAAAAGAAATATTACTCAAGCTCAAAGCACACATTGAATCTCACACAGTAATAATGGGAAATTTCAACAGACTACTCTCACCAATGGACACATCCTGGAAACAGAAACTAAACAAAGATACAGTGTAACTAACAGAATTTATGAACCAACTGAATTTTACAGATATCTATAGATAAAGATTTTGTTAAGATCAGCTTCCTCTTGGCTCCCACAAATTCCTGTAAGAACTAGATAAGCTCTGACCCAATCCTCGTTCTAAACAAAAACACTAATAGCGCTTAACTCCTTCCACCTTCAAGGTCCAGACTTCTGTCAGTATCAGTGCATCCTGAATCAAGTCTTAGCATTGGTTTTTGTGGGAAAAAAATGTCATTGAAACCATGGCCTATACAAGTAGATTTCTAAACATGTTATATTTATATGCCCAAAAGGTTCTAAATAGAAATTTTATCCAGAGTGTCAAAACTATCAGGCAACACATAAAATATACTAATCATAGGAAATAAGTTCAGTTTGTGACAGGAAGCTTACTGAGTTGAACCGAGGTTGTTGTTCAGACATATTTAACTTAAGAGTAATATTCCTCGGAAGCAGGAAGCATGCTTTCAATCACTGGTGCTGTATCTTTTAACTATGAATACACCTTAGTTCTTCTGCTTTAACACAAATTGCCAGTTGTCTAATGCCATTCAGTATCCTGTCTGTTTAATCCACAACCCTGATATACCATTGCTTTGTTTGCTTCACTAAAGCAGAGTTTGAAATGTCTTTGGTAGTCAGTTGCTAAAAAGTAAGTATAGATTTGTCTGTTAACATAAATGAAGGCGTAAAGCACTTAGAGAAGAAATGCAGGGTTGAAAGCCTGTGCACTGAACAAATCCTCACAGCCTAGAGGAACACTCTCCAGTGAGGTGCCATGATAAAGAGACCTGGCTCCTAGCAAAGGCAG